GGAAAGTGCACGGGGTACCTGTAGCTCCCTGCGGCTGGCGGGGTGTAGGCGTCGTGCTGCTCCGTGTTATTCCCAGTGATCCTGGGGCTGCCAAGCACAACGGCTGATTTCATCTGGAGGGAACCCAATGCAGTTTGATGCTGGCTGGTGCAGGCCAGGCCTTGCCCCCATTACAGCCAAGCTCCCGTTGCCCCAGCTCTGCTCCCAGGGCCCCAGTCCCACACAGATTATTCCCTCCCCCTAGAAAGCAGATGCTGCTGCAGGCTAGGCCAGGGCACAGACAGAGCCGTGTCCCCTGGAGGCGTGGGCATGGATCTCTGCACCCAGAGATGGGGTAAGTCCCGAGTGAATCTGGAGACTCGCTCCCTATGGTGACCGGATCAGGCCTCAGCCTAGGAGCTGCCTCGGTTCCCAGCAGAGCATACATGAGGTGCCATGGGGCTGAGCTCGCCGAATTGTACCGTTACCTTCTCGCAGGGCTGCGCAGGGGGGGCCCATTCCCCCTGGAAGTCTGCATGGTGTGTGGTTTGGTAGTGGCAGCGCCCGTCCCCTGCGAGCGGGGAATGTCCTCCTGTAGGGGAAGGAGCTGGGGGTCAGGCCAGGACGTTCTCAGACTTGGCCCCTTCAGCTGTGAGGACCCTGCTGCCGAGACCCCTGCGCCCCAAAGGGAGGTGCTCCGGACACCTGCGCGCCTCCTCTGCCAGCTCATTGCTCTCCTGCCGGGCGGCTGGTGGGAAGAGGTCAAAAGCTCCAAACAATCGAGGACGTCCTCCAGAGCAGGCTGCCCTGCGAGTGACACTGGGTGTGGGCATGCAGCAGAGGTCCGAGTCCAGCCAAGCAGCCCAGCTTGTGCATTGGAAGCAAGGGTACATACGGCTCTAACAGCTCTTCTGCACATGGCAACGAGCGCCCTCCCTGGCCTTAAAGCTCTGGAGATCAGGGGCCACGTTGTGCCCCAGGTGACTGGTGACACGAGTGCACGTGCCCCCTGGGCCTGGGTGTCCATGACACCAACCACCACTACACCCAGCGGCAGGGAAGACCCAGAATAAGGCAAGCTGCAGACGCAGCGAGGCCGAGCACAGGGCAGCAGCAGTGCTGTAGGCTGGGGGCCAGCAGGGCTCAGGGCACAGCTGTGGACGGCCTGGGTCCACACCCTGCAGACCCACTGGAACGGAGCAAACGGAGGCCTGCCGATAGCCAGGTATCTCTAGATCCTGAACGCCGTGTCTCTGATAACATGACACTAGTCGCTGCAGCAAACCCCAGCCTGAACTATCACAGCAGCATCCCCTTGGCCAAGGCAAAGAAACCACGCAGGACCCCCAAGTGCCCCCCGAACACTGAGATTGCAGCCACGCAGACAACTCACCCAGGTGCATGCACGGGGCTCTCGCAACTGGCTGCATCCCATGGTCTACGTAGGAGGAGCAGGACAGCGAAGGCTGCCGAGGGAATTGTCTCTTGTTCTCGCAGAACAGGTTATGGTTCCACTTCTCATTCTGCGGTTTGTGGGTGAGCGGCCTTGGCCCCGCTGCCTCCAGCCCAGGATAGCTATCCCGGGCCGTGGAGGTGACGACGCTGATCCTGGGATCAGTGTGCATGAGCGCGTGCATCTGCGGCCGGATCATTTTGATCTTGGGCTGGTGGGGTCTCTCGGAGAATGCCACCTGCGTCTCTGTCCCTGTTTCCTTCGGTGTGACGAGGTCCTTGTGTATAACCCCTTTGGAGGGGGGCAGCGGAATAGACTCTCGCTGGAAATTTCCCCAGTACGGGGGGTAATCAACCTTGTACACGGACTGATCCACCTGTCCTGGTGGCCAGCGGTCAAAGGATGTCCTAAAATGGGAAGCCTTTTGGAAGTCAGCCCCCATGATGGTGGGGGCTGGCATGAGGTTTTTGACGGGGGCCGCCATCGCGCCCTGTGGGCAAGATGCAGCACAAGAAACACCACAGCTCACGGACTTAGCCTGACCAAGCCGTCTGGCGCAATGGGTCAACTGGCCAGGCTGGGACATACCCGAGGGGCCCTGATGTCACAATTGAGCCCTGGCAACGGGGGAAACATGCCGCGGTTTCAAGGCAGGACACCAGGAAGAGGAGAGCAGGGTGGGGAGGGCAGGAGAAAGGGGCGCACAGGTGACAGGTGCCATCCATGGTGACTCAGTGATGTCGTGCGCCTCCCCTTTGGGCACCCCTGTGCTCCACCCTGCCCCCACCAAGCTGCTTGGCTGAGTCGGTTGTGGGATCACGGGCACAGGGTCTGCATGCTCCACGGGCCCCGTGGTATGGGCCACGGAGGCTGTGACCAGCCTGGGGCACGCACCCTCTGCCCCCAGTACCACCCTGTCCAGCCCCAGGGCAACCCTCTGCCCCTGCGGCATGTCCGGGCACTGGGGCACAGCCCGTGTAGCGTCTCAGGCTGACGCTTGCACTGCAGCCTCCAGGACTGCGCCATGCTGCAGACAGCGCCATCCTTCCCTGGCCAGATGTCCTGGGCACTGCTGTCCAGCCGGGACCCGCCACAGGGCTCCAGGCTGAGGCCACCTCACAGAGGGGACGTCCAGCCGTGCCGAGAGGCGCCCAGTGCATTTGAATTTATGCGCGCTCGAGCACTATTGCACTGGGTGCAGTCCCGGCTGCTAGAAACAGCCCGTCCTCGCCCATGGGACCTACCAGTCGAAGAGGTCTCTCTGCCCAGTGGCACACTGGTTCCCTGCTGTTCCTGCCCTGCGAGGCTCTGGCTGGTGGAGGCTCCTCCCTGCAGCAGAGCCCACCCATCTCAGCCAGAAATGCCTGGGACCGGGCTGCGGCTCCATGTTCCTTGCTGGGGTGGAGCAGGAAGCCCTGTGTGGCCTGGAGCTACTGGGTAGCATGTGGCTAGCTTGCAGGTCACATTGGCCCTGTGCCCATTTGCATCCCCCCCCATCTCCCCTTGGCATCCAAACCTCCCCCAAGGAGCTCAGGGCTGCACTGGCATGCTGGGTTCCCAGAGGGGAGGTGGCTGTTGTACCCGGCACAGGGGGCAATTTATGCCCCTTCCCCACTGTGGTGGAAGCAGAGGCCTCACCCCCGCAGCCCGTGCACTTGTGCCTGCTTGCCACCAAGGCTGTGCTGGGCTCATCAGGTCAGCCCCAGGGCAAGTCTGATCCAGGCAGGCGGCAGGGCAGATACTGCACCGATCCTACTGGGATCTACTTGATGGCAGTGAAGGGGACTCAGCCCCTGCTCAGTCTCCTTCCAGGAAACACTGGGTGTCTACACACAGCAGCTGAAATGCAAAAGGCGCAGGGAGTTGCCATGGCAACTTCGCCCTGACTAACAGAGGGAACATCCGGACAGAGTCACTGGGTGCCAGGGCCATGACGTCACCGTCCCCAGCTCCGAGGGGGCTTTCCCCACAGCCTGCTGTTTCCGGAGAAGGGGCTGAGTCGGCTGGGGACTGAGTCACGGGGCCCTGGTCTGTCCTGGGGCTAGCGTGGTGGAGGGGCGCCTGCAGAGCCCGCAGGTCCAGCCTGGGAGCAGAGGGGGGCAGGATCCATTGCCCCATCTCCCCCCCCCGGCCCTGCCCAGGCTCCACACTGGGGCCACAGGCCCAGCCTCGGCAGCACGTTCCTCCCCGTACTGGAACCCGGCTTGCAGTGCTGAGCGCCCCGCACCCCATCGCGCCCAGCCGGAGCAGCGGGGTCCCAGCCTGACACGGGGCAGCTCATCCTTCACGTCCCCCAGCGCTCAGGGGTGCCCCTCCACCCCCCGGCACAGCCGCCGCTCCACGGGCCAGGAACGGGGCAGAGCCGCTGCCGCCCGCCCACGGGCAGGGCGGGGATGCCCGGCAGCCCCGTGCCCGCAGGCCACGACCCGCCCCGCCCCGGCCGTGCTCTTACACACGTGCGCGC